GAGACACTAAGTAGCGTTTGACCACTACGTTTCATTTTCCTGAATCTTGCCAGATGGATTTGTACTCCTTGATGTGCAGAGAACTAAAGTGATACGTACATTGGAATCAAGATTTTCTCCACAGTCAGTCAGCAGATGATTGCGAAAATCTTAATTTGGGCTCTACTGATCGTCTCAGCCCTTTCGTCATTCTCATGTTCCAGCCCGGATCCACTTCTATTGAAGAACACTTGCCGTTTCTACCAGGCCTGGGTATTTTATTGTCCAGTCGTTCGTGTCCCGTATCTGCCGAACGAAACATCTGGCACCCATCTTACCCGTCACATGTTTACATCAGCTCACAGTCACAGCACTCAGCTCTTGTGTATTCGCCATTCTCCTTTCGTCTTTTGATCTGTTCTGTGCTGTGCTGTTCTGTGCTACCCAAATCCGAGTAACTCGTTATTCAGGCCATCTCGTTCTTTGTCATGGAATTCAATGTCCCCCTACCTCTCCCTCGTCCCTTTGCTTCGACTGCGTGACCCATCCAACATTCACGACATTCGTGTATTTCACTTTAGCTATTATGGTGCCTTCTCTGCCGTTGAAAACACCTCCACCATTCGTGCAGATCTCCAATTCGTCCATATCTTCAATGTAATCGATGCATCAATGAACATATCTTTTTTTCTGCCTTTCGTTTTGGCCTTTTCTATACCGCTGACTCTTCCCACACTGTCCGCGCCCGCGCCACATCGCAGCCTCGGCACGGCCGCGTCCTGTGTTCGCAGAGCCCAAGAAGGACAAGACTGAGCAGCCACGGCGGGGGGCGCTGTCTCCGTGGGCGACGGCCGCGCCGGCCCGCGGTGGCGCCCGCGGCGCGCCCCGGGCTGCGCGCCTGACCCAGCGGGCGCGCCGCTGCGCCCGCCGCGCCGCCGCCCGCGGCAGCCGCCGCCGAGCAGCCGCCGCGCGCCGCAGCCAGCGAAGCAGCAGCAGCAGGCGGCGAGCGGTGGAGCGGCGGCGGCGGTGGAGGAGGAGGAGGAGGAGGAGGAGGTGGTAGTGGTGGTGGAGGCGGAGGAGGCTGCCCCAAGCCCGAACGCCCGTCCAGCCTCGGACCCGGGAAGCTCACCCGCCGGCTGCTGTGCTACCACGGCGGCCAGTGCGGCCCGCCCGCCTCGCCGCCCAGGGGGCCAGGAGGCCACGTCGGTAGGTGCTCTCTGCGACAACTCGCTTGGCGCTGTTTTGAATAATTTACTCATGCCTTCACTTCAACGCATGCCGGGAGACCGGTCGGGAGCCTAGACCTTGTCCCGGCTGGGGTGGTGCCCCGCTGGTGGGAGACTCCTGGTTGAGAGCAACCCCGCTAGCCGACCGATCACCGCATCCTCTCGATGAAAAATATACTTACGGGACAAATGATGCCGCGCCCGGAAATGGCGTTTGTTTGGGGCAAATATTTCGCGCGTTTGAAGGCAAATTGCTTTAAAATGCCTGGGATGAATGTAAGGAATGTACACCGCACTCTTGCAATCGCTAAACTGCACTTACAATGAAATGGCACGTCTTATTTTGACAATAAAATTGAAAATCATGCCTTTAAATACAAGCAGAGGCTCGTATATTTGACAACCATTGTAACATGCCCCAACAAAACGTTACTGAGATAATGATGTGAGCAACATCTGGAAGTTAATATAAGACTACAGTAGACAAAGGAATATTGTAGCGGAATTAGCGATGTCTTGTGCGTTTGATGGCAACAAATTACCCATTTCTGTTTTCGTACTCCTTTCAACTGATTTTACTTCAGAAGTTTTAAAGAGGCAGAGAAGAAATTCCATCTGGTTTTGAATTTCAACCAAACAACACCCGCCTAGAACAGGCTTTTGAAAAATACACCCAACTGACTGCTTGTGAAAATATTTTAATGAAAAACTGTCGTTAATACCTTTTAACTCCGAGATGTGCCTAAAACTTTCTTCTTTTCTTACACCCTCTGTCATTGGCCTTCAACTCTCTTCTTGATCCTTTGGCCGACTTCTCCTCAGGACCTATAAGGAGTATTCGGGTTCTTTATGGAGATTTGGTCGGTAGTTTAAGTCACTTGTCGGTGGCTGGACAGGACGATGGCACGCGCCAGACCTTTACAGGCGTTGCAGCGCTAGGCGAAGATACTATAATCGCGCTCGCGTTTAAATTGACGCTAGTTTATATGCTGAACCGCGTTGCATCTCGTGGATCGATTGACGTCAATTTCGCTGTTGTAGCGATGACAAATAAGTCGTCACGAGCCACGCAAACTCCTAGAACGAGGACGGCCTTTCCTTGTGTAGCTAAGGGTTTCGTGAAATTTGAGGACTCGGGTCTCGAAACGTTTGTCGCAAGCAGTACTGTAAATTTGCGATTTGAGTATTCTTCATGTACACCGCATCACAAGATTACCGTTTAATAACGGGAACAAGTATCGCTCTTTTTAATCTTGGGGATTCCCCCTATGCGATCTCATTAGCATGATTAGTATATGTGCACAATGACATCTTGGTAGGTGTGTCTTACGAGGACGTAAGTAGCAATAACCATTTGTGCAGGTAGCAAGCACCATGATTAGCGTGAAAAAATCTGTGGAATATTAGAAATACTTATACCGAGAAATATCTTATCGGTACTTTGCAATTTAGCCGTCGTGGTTACGAAAAACAATAGAAGTTCATTTCTTTTCGCATAATCGCGCAATTGCGTTATTGCAATTGGAGGTGCCTATGAAGTACATTCAAAATTTAAAATTAGTTTTCGTGCATCTTGTTATATTCTATCTTGAAAGAAAATGGGTAATTACATGCAACATCAAAGTTTGCGAAATTTTATTTCATTTCATTATTTGTTTCCGGAACGGTTTATATGTAGCGTCTTTGACTCTTAAATTGTAGTGAAGTGTTACATGTTTGTTATTCTTGCTTTGAGTATTGTTTCTAAGCCTTCGCGCTTACGTGTTGAGTTCAATCCTTGTTGTATCTCTCAGCACCTCCTCATCAATTCGGTTTGGCCGGTGAACGTCACTGCAACTGTCGTCAGTGTACTGAAAATAGCTGATCGATTTTCAGCTGGGGTTGCACCATTGTCCAACTTCAGCCAAGTTGTATTGCGTTGTTCCATGGAATGATTTAAGGTGTGCCAAGTTCTAAATTAACGAAAATTCTGAATGGAATTGATTTCCACTACGACGAATCGTTTTGAAGGTTATACGGTATTTCGAATTTTATTACGAATCTTTCTTGATCTTTTTATCTTCTAAAACCAACTTATGGAATATTACAGAAACGACAGCAACACAACTTTACAGATATTTCCTACAAGGGTGTATATAAATGAATAACTTTTTGAATGTTAATGCCACAAAAGTTAATACAAAGTTTTAGCATCTAATGTATATATTATACTATATTCTTAACTACTGATTTTGTGCATAGTTATGCTTGTGAAGCTTTTAATACTAACATAACCAGAGCTTATTTCGGGTACATATGTACATATTTAAAAACTTGTCTTCAATATTTTTTGTAAATATCTTTCTCATTGCTTCTTAGGTACTAAATTAATACTTGTAGAAAATCCCGAAAATGTTAATAAACCCGAAAATTCTTCTCAAGGACGCATTTCCTACTTTCGTACTCAAGGGGAAAATGGTGTTCTGAAGTTTGTTTTCTATATTCAGATTTTGAGCTTCATGCTGATTGATTAGGAATGAAATTTGAAGTTTGTGAATTGTCTTAGCTTGTAGAAACCAATTCATCTACTTTCCGAAGGTTTGCCTATCAGTGTCATCGAGTAGAAAACAAGACTCCTTTTTTCAAAACCACTCCCTGAAAGTAGACATCTTAAAATAAAATAGGGGAATATGAGTCTTGGTTCCAAAATCAGAAATTACTCGCGATATGTATTATTTTATAAGAAACTCGTATTAAGACAATGAATCAAAGTATAAATTAATTGATAAAAGTATTCCTTATTATCTGTTCTAGAAAATACTCCCATACGACAGCATTGAAACGCAGCAGAATAATGTCTCGTATATATAATGAATTACACACAGTAAGCGAAAATTGTAAAACTTGTTTTTTATTATTATCACCAGGAATAAATTTTAGTCGAAAATCGATCTGAAATTTATGGAAGACACTTCTTCTTCCTCCCATTGGGATATTTTGTTGAAAATTCGCGTTTCAGTTAATAAACTGCTGTCATAACGATGCCAAAGGTTTTTCTGGCTTATGCAAATTCTTCGAATTACTAACGAACTCTGTTGCAGCGCCCCCTCTCCCGCTCTCTGTCCCGTCCCGCTTCCTGCATCGCCCTGCATCGCGCCGCGCCGCGCTCTGCCTCTGCCCGCAGGCTCGTCCGCGTCGGACCCCTGCTCGCCCGCGGGCGGCGGCGCCGGGGGCGGGGGCGGGGGCGAGTCGACGCCGCCACCGCCCGAGCGGCAGGCGCCCGGCTGCGGCGGCGGCGGCGCCTCCGCGGGCGGTGGGGCCTGGACGGCACTCGCACCAGTCTGCGCAGCCTACGCGTCGGAGCTGCCGAGGCCGCCCATCCCGTGTCGAGATTCGACGCATCCCCGCCGCCCATTTTCCGTCGCCCAGCCCCACGCGGCTCGCAGCGTGCTTTGCAGACCGGGCTGGCTGCGTCGACCTGCAGCGGGCCCGCGCAGCAGCAGTGGCCACCAGGCCCGCACGCCCCACGGCTCGACGCCCGCACGGCCACATGGGCCACATGGCCCCACGGCCGCACGGCCACAACCAGCAACGGGCCACGCGGCTCGCCACCCATGGGCCCCGCAGCACCTGCCGCCGCACGCCACCAGCACGCGCACACCGCGCCGCGTGAATTCATGTCCTACGAAGTACGCCCCTCCCTCCCTCCTTCCCCATCCCGCCCTTACCACCACCCCCACCCCTGCGCCAGCAGCTGCCGCAGCCGTTTCCAACCGCCCTCCGCCCTCGGAGATTCCCAGCCTGGTCAAGTTGCAGGAGCGGAGATCACCTATTGATAAACACTTCGCTGCGGTGGCACATAGACCTAAGAACGTTTCGTGTCATTTTATCAGCCTTTCTAGATCTACTTCATTTTTCCAGGGCGCGAAATAATGTACTTCTTTAATTTTAAGTGAAAGTGTTTTATTTATGATTGTTCGTTTTAAGAGATGCACGTTCGTTCATCTTGTAAAACAAATATGACACCTGCATTATCCCGTTCGGCTTTCATTTCTGGAATAAGGTTTTGGTACATGAAAAAGTGACAAGATGCGACTGCCCGTTCTGTATTGTCATTTGTGCTGTCGGTGCAGTTTGCCTACTCGAGGCGGATTGCGAGCACATTCTACCACTCTGCGATTCTCAAATAGCGAGACCCTTGTGCAACCTGGCCGTGGCTCTCGCTGTTCCTGTTGTCACTCGCTGGGCAGTTGGAAATGACTGCGGTCGGTGGTGCTGGTGGTGGTGGTGGTGATGTTTCTTAAATGGGGCCTATTGTGTGCAGCTGGAGTAGTTCTCGGTTGACCCAGAGTTTTGAATAAAAGGAAGATAATTCAGGACGAAGGGCAATCGAGAACTTGCTCGAAAGATGTTAACAAGCTTACTATGAATACGAGGCTATTCCGAGTCCTTATAATTTAAGCAAATATGTAATTTTCATAACTTCACACATTAATTTTCACACATTGCTTCTATTGTAAATGAATACAATTATTATTGTGAAAATTTATTAACGTAAAGAAACGTTTGTTCCGAAAAAAGTTATTTCCGCAAATATATTTGTTTTCGCATTGAATACATTCGATACTTCATAAATTCATAATCTTGTTTTATTTTCGAAGACATTTTCTTAATAAATAAAATATTGTAAGTCAGATTTCAATCTTATATTCTTTGATTAGATGTGATTTTCAAATTTTTCGAAAATAATTTTTGCGTTCTTCCCAGGATAAAATTTCTGGACGTGAGGACATCCATTTTCTTCTATTAACTGAGTTTCCAAACACTCCGTGATTTAGATGGACAGACCTTGTTTGGTAAAGTGCCTCAGTCTCCCGGACGTAGTCCAAGGCCCTGACGCCTGAAAGGAAAAGACCTTGTTGAAACGTCGGTCGATCGGAATAGCCCCGCTGTCTCTGTGTCTGTGTTGTGTCCGTGCCCGACTGTTTCTTTGCAGCAGCAGCAATAACGGCGGCGCTGAGGCGTGGAGTGCCGCGAGCGCGCACCTAGCCCGCCCGCGCGGCCCCGGAGAAGACCGCTCGCTCCCCCTCGCATGCCCCCACCCCTCGGTCGGGTGGAAACCCTTGCTTGTGCATGCCCCCTCCCCCACCCCCTGCTGTGCATGCCTACCCGGCGGGCGCCTGCTCGGAGACTTCGGTGCCCGCCGCATTTGCGCTGTTGTTGGCTTTTCTAACTTCGGCTTTTGTATTTATTCTGCGTTTTTGTGCTCGTATGTCATTATTTTTGCATATCCCGTTATTTTGCTTATTGTTTAAAGCTATCTTTATCTCTTATTTAAGGCTTCTTGTTATTAAGATTTGCTGTATTTGTTGCTCAAGTATGTATATGCATATACATAGTGTTGTACTGATGTATATACATATTATTTATTTTACTGTGCATTGGAGGAACATCCTTTAGTATTCGTTTCATCTGAATTTGCTGTTTGATGTACGGATACCACAGTAAATAACTTGTTCCTATACCACGTTTATGAACACTACAGATTGCTAGGAACGAACTCTGAAAGGATGTTCAGTCGTTGGGCTTGGCTAAGATGAAGTGAGGATGAGTTGCCGTCGCCCGTTTTCTTTATGTATTTTAAAAAACAACTGTCGGTCTTATAAATCTTTCGCTGCAACTTCTCAGCATCAAGTAAGTGTTAAACATGTACTCTTTGGGGCAACATCGAAGTTAATGAGGAAGAGAAAGGCTTCGTAGATTTTTCTGTACAGACACTGAATTAAAAAATCTAGTTTTGGAATTAAATTCGACATTTCCGGCTTAATATAATTAGTATAGTGAAGAAATACACATGTTAAAAATTATGGTTCTTAATAATGAGGCGAACTTAAAATAATATAGTAATCAGTATAAATTGACAATATATTATTACTAGTGCTTCGAAGACTTATTAAAAACACTTAAATTAACATTGAATGTTAATGATGATCGCTTTCAGTGATATTCGATATTTCAGCAATCGCTGTTTGCTACACTAGTACATATTACACGCGTATTACCAAAAGGTATTGAGGCTTAAGCAATTTTTCTGTGGTCGGTTCCTGAGGTATGACTTAATTTTAATTAATTTTGGATGAATAAATGAGAGGGTCTAGATCAGCAAATTTATTCATCTGATGAAAATCTGTTTCTAGCGAGACTTCTCGCTATTTCTGAGCACTGGTAAAGGAAAAAGGCACGTTGTTGCTCTCTGTACTACTCCAGTACATTTGATTCGGGTATCTAAAGTTCGTACATTGTTCGTACATGTTTAATGTTCAATTTTTGAGAAAAAAATTTGTTCAGTTCGTCGAATAAGAATTATTTCCCTTGTATTATCGTCAGTAGTGTCAGTAGTTTCAATTGGGGTTATTTACCGATTCAGTGTTGGCAGCACATTGTCTCGTACATCACAGGCAGGGAATGGAATGGGGGATACGACCTCCCAGCGTTCGATTCTGTGATGATGGAATTGATCGAACAATGCAGACGAATTAATTAATAGTTCATAAGAGCAAAGAGCTTGGTTGGTTTCTTCCAGTTCAATTTTCAGAAATATTTATCTTTTAGAATTCTTTAGGATAATACGGAGAACTTTGTATACTTTTGGATTTTTTCCATAGAAACAGAAGTAGAAATATCCCACGTTGGAGTGTAGTAGAGTTTTTTATAACGCATAAATATTATTTAATAAAATATTCCGTGGAAGTTTGGGTTGCACAGTATCGAACGGCCAGTACTACGCAGAGTACTAATTATAAAATTTCAACGAATCTTTTCTTTTAAAAAAATGTACGAAATAATCTCGCTTGTAATCCAATGTGAGCTTTTTGAATTCGCGTGTTCTCATTCACTTCTACAAGACTTTTTCTTAGGGTTTCCGTAGAAACAAAGTACTATACAAAATCACATTCACGATGCTATTGACACCGGATATTGTGTTTAATCGCTTTGGACATGTGTATCAGTCATATTTTGCAGTTTAAATTTTATGGGAGGTAGTAAGAATTCTAACTTTTCTAAAATAGCCAATCACTTTCCTGAACGTATTACGAATGTTTACTTTCTCGCGTACTACATACGTACTATAAAGTTATGTCATGCTGCTACGAAAAACGGCGACTTTTCGGCAGCAAATGTTTTGTAGGGCCCATTGAGTAGACGTGCCGAAAAACTCTTTAATTCATATTCCTATATTCAGTAAATTACTTCCATGTGATGTAATCAGAATCCACGTTTGTGGTTCTTTGATCCCCAAAAATTGGTTTTTGGCAAAAGGTCCGTCTGTCAGTTTGTGATCAATGCTAATGGCTAAACTGTAAGCAGAATTTTCACCAAAATTGATAATCCCCGATCGATTTGACTGATGTCGTGGTCCCTTGATTTTTGAATGTGATATTTTAATTTTTGTCAATATTTTATATGAAGCCTGGAGAACATTTACTATTTGTTTTAAAAAATGGTTTAAAATTTTTCGATTAAATTTTTATCGAATATATAAATTATGATTATAAACATTGTTCAGGTCCGATTTTCGTTGAATTTTTATAAATTTTCGAAAATTGCAAAAGAGTGAAAAATGGAATCTTCCTGTAAGTACGATATTCAAGACAGGTTTTCCTTCAAAAAGAAATCTGTTCTCCAAATTAGTTCTCCAGTATACGTCAATAGGTTGTGTACTTGTTTTTTAAAATATGATCTTTTTAATGTAATATCCGTGATATAATTGCAATTTTAAAATCAAAATTTCCTCAAAAACAGATCGAAATGTTTTCTTTATCCTTTTTGTGTGTATAGTGTTAAATACACTGAATAAAATGACATCAACGTCATTTTGATGTATTCTTTTGATTTTTCAAAAATTACACAAACTTCAGTTTTTTGGTAACTCTCGTGTCTTTTTCATTACGGCAGGTTTTTTATACAATATTGCACTTTTGGACGCAAATGGTGCAAATAATTTTTGTTTTTCGAAAACTCAAAAGTTTTCAGTTTGCTCAAAATTGTGCGTTTTCAGAAACTTTCAAGCGACATATTTTTCAAGAACTACTCAAATATTTTAATGAAAATTTGCAAAAGTATTTTAGGTGCCAATAGCTGCTGGGAAGAGAAGGGCTGTACTGAAAAGCTAGTGTAGGCGCACGTTTAAAAAACACTTTTTTTACGTAGAGTACAAAGATGTGATTTATTCATAATTGATAATTCTCGTAAAGAAAGAAATGATTTACGAGACGTTTATTAATGTAATTAGATGCATTTACCGCTGTACTTTTGACTTGCCTTGAATACATGCAATAGGCCTCTGTCGATGATCTTGCTGCTTGAGAAGGGTGGTTGTGGGCCTGGTGCTGAGAGGTTGCGGTGCTGGGCCTGAGGGCGCGGGCGCGGGCGCGGGCGCGGGCGAGGCGCTGACGGAGGGCCGGGGGCTGCCCGCAGAGCCGTCGGAGGACGCGGACGGCGGCTGCGCTGAGGACGAGGACGACGAGGACGACGAGGAGGAGCGCTACCCGTTCCGCGTGCCGCAGCCGGACCCCAGCATCGACACGTCGCGCGTCGAGGAGATCCCCGCCAAGGTGAGGCTTTGTTGTTGCTTCCTTCACATGTCTTTCCTCCTTTCACTTCTTACGGTTTTCTTTTACTGACCTAGTCTTTTTTGTCTTACCTTGACTAACGGATGTTTTTGTTTTCCTTTCCAGAGATATGATGTTTCTGTACTTTAAGAAAGTATTTTTATCACCATCCTCGCCATATTGTGTTCTGTAATTACTTTTCCCATTATTATATCTTTTTCTTA